AGTGAGCGGGAACTCCGACGTCTCGGACCACGTGAGGCTCAGCTCGTACATGAGCCCGTGCACCGTGTTGTTCGGCCGAGAGATCGTCTCCCCGTCGAAGTACAGCTTGTGAAAGGTACTGATCCATGGCCACGTCCAGCTCCTGGTACGTGGCGGTGGGCATCATGACGCTCTTGCAGAACAGGTAGAACAGCCTTGCCGCCTCCGTGTACACACGCAGGGTCTTGACGGAAATCGACCGGCTCTTCAAGTACCCCTCCTGCTGGGACCCCCCTGCCCTGGCGGCCCGCGCCCGGGCTCGGTCCGAGCGCGAGGCGTCCGCCTTCAGCGCGGCCGAGCCTCGGTCCGCTGAGCTGGACGCCGGAGGGCCTGCGGTGGTCAGCAGCCTGGTGGGCGTCGGCGCGGGCGAGAGCAGCGATGGCTTGCCGCCTCCTCTCGCCACTGGACCCGCACATGGCATGTCCTGTCGCGCGCTCCCATCCAGTAGCAAACCGCCGTGGACACGTCGGCGCGGCGACCGGCTGCGGGGTGACCCCGACCTCGCCCGCCAGCTCATCGGCCCAAGGTTGACAGCGCGCTGGCTCTCCCGCTCGAAGAAACGCCCCGGGCGGAGCAGCCTGTTTGAGCCCATCAGCATACGCGCGGCAAGCTCCAGGAGGATAGGCTGCGGCCAAGGAAGTTTTCCAGCGCCATGTAGGACGACCGTCTGGACCCTCGACCCTGACCTTGCCCTCGAGGATCTCGTGGGGGACTCTGCAGCTACACCTCCTATCCAGGACCCCGAGAGAGACCACGCTAGTATAGAATACCGTAGGTTTCTTGAACGGGGCCCCGTGCCTGCACGCGTTGTATCGGACAGGACTGCAAGGCTCTTCTGGATTTCCTTTTTCAGTGGCCCATAGGCCCATATCACAGACGTGGCCGGGTTCTCCACCGAGACCGTGACCCCGCACTGACGACAAACCCGTAGGACACGACAACTGAAAAACGCCAACGCCAGGCCCCTGGTGACCTCGTTGGAGTCCTCGGAGCCAGTAGATCTTGCCTGGGACCAGCAGGTACATGGCGGAGCCAGGGGAACGTGCCAAACCTTTCCTTCTCGAATCCAACGGATGACGCAACACTGAACACGTGAATCGAGCAGGTCCAAGTGTTTTCCGTTCGCAACATCGATCGGACACAGGATGCGCAGGCCGGCCTGCGCGCAGGCTCCTGAGAGGCGCCCGCAGCCGGCAAACAACTCGAGAACACCGAGCGGCCGTCTCGCCTGGCTGGCGCTCCGAACGACGCTCGGGCCCTGGCCGTTGGCCGCCCGCGCAGGCACACCCGCCTGGCTAGCGGCGCGCGACCGCAGCCGCCCGGCCAGGCGGCCAGGGCGCAACGCCTCGCCTGCCTTCAGGATGCCCTTGTCCGCCAGGCGGGAGTCGGCGTCCGTCGGGCTCCGCTCCGACTCGACGTACCTCCGCACCCAGCGGACCTCAGCGCCGAGCTGGAGGGCGGCTGCCCGACGGCAGAGGGCATTCATACCATGGTTGACAGCCCTGCCCTTCTCGGTCGCCATGATCTCGGAGAGGTTAACACCCACCGAGAGGACCTGGCACCCGTGAGCTCTGGGATCTGCGACGGCATGCCGGAGCCCAGCCAGCGAGATGCGGCACTCCTTCATGTGGATCGCCTCTCGCCGGCCCCAGGCTCCCACCAGCACTCGAGACCAGCGTGCGCCGTCTAGCAGCTCGTCAGGCAGCGCCGGCACGATGCCCGCGACGACCTCGGCCTTCCCGTGGGCGGGCGCCGACGGGCGCATCGGCCGCCGGCCTGCGTGGCGCACTCCCTGGCGCCTCGCCCAGGTCGAACGACTCGCCAAGGCAGTCGCAGTTGGCGTCAAGGCCTGGCCCGTTAGCCTCCAGGCCGAGACCAAGAGCCCCCCCCTCCTCGGCAAAGCGCCAGCGCTCCTTCCAGCGGCCAACGGCCCGCAGCTCGGCACCGCTGAAGTAGCCCTGGTGCAGCGCGTAGCCGTGGGTCGACGAGACGCGGATGAAGGCCTTCTCGTAGAACGGGTCGCTGAGCCGCGCGACCACCAGCGGCAAGACCCCTTGGCATGCGCGGAGCTCGGCGACGACCGCGTCGCTGAACCGCTGGTAGCGCCCGATGTTATCCTGAGCGATCTGGTAGCACTGCTGCAAAATAGTCAAGCAGCACCGAGAGAGCAGGAAGAAGTTGACCAAGTGCCCAAGCACCACGCGCATCACATCTGCGCAGCCCCTTCGGCAGCTGGCCCACACCGCAGTAGAGTCGCCAGAAACGGGACCGACGGTGCTTCCAGCTCTTGTCCGCACCGCAGAGCACGAAGCCGACCGCGACCAGGTCCTCGTCGAACTCGACGAGGTCTCGAAAGGTGAACCCCCTCGAAACCAGCTCGCACACCATCTCCTGGTACACCAGCTTCGCGTCGGCCACGTCGAAGCAGACTACGTCCCCGTTGCCCACGTAGGGCGCGACGACGGGCCCCCCCTTGGAGAGGCTCGGCGCCGGGAAGCCGTCTCGAGCGAGCTGGCGCTCTGCGACCTCGCGGCTGCGAGCCATCGCACGCCCGACCGCCGCGATCAGCCCCGAGTGGCAGATATACAAGCCCCGCGACCAGCCCATGGCAATCCCGCAGAAGCACGGCCAGACCCGCTCGTCCGGCTCGACTCGCTCCCAGACGTCCTGCCCGTCAACGTTGCTGTACACGACGTCGACGCCCGCCTCCCTCGCGGTGATCTCGGCGGGGATGCCGAACCAGTCGGAGAGGGGGAGGCACCGCAGCTGGTGGAAGCCGCCCTGGAAGTCCACCGAGCACCCACAGAGCTGAAGACCGTCGGCCATTGTTCCCGACGAGTCTGCCGACACATCCAACCCTGTAAGTGCTCCCGGGGTGGCCAGGTATTATCGAGGCGGGCGGCGGTGAAAAAAGTGCGGCGCTCGGGAGTCTACGAAGAGCCGCTGCCACCAGCCGTCCTTCTGTAAAACCGCGAAGAGGCCCACGAACGACTTCACACGCCTGCGGTAGACGACGAGCCCACATGAGTGAAGCCGACTGATCAGCTCTCGCAGCATGGGTGAGTTGCCTCTCAGCCCCGGGCCCATGTAAGGACGTGGCGGAACCCCTCGGCGATCATAATGGTCGGGCGGGCGCTCGACGAATCGGCCAGGGTCTCGAAGAAGAACCTGCGCGTCGCCCCCCAACAGGCTGAGCGCATCCTTGGGAGTGGCGTCGCCCTTCATGATCTTCAAACGCTCAAGCACCATGGGCGCCTGAGTCGTGACGTCGCCAACGTTGTGCATATCCTCGCACATCACTAAGGAAAAGAAAGGATTCTTTGCGTCGAAGTCGCCTGGGGCGGGAAACACGTCGTCCACACTCCGAGCGACTCGCCCCGGGATAGACCGCTGAAGGTCAGTAGGGCCATCGGCTTTATACCCAGGCCGTCGCAACTGCAGCGGCCTTCCAGCGCGGGCCCCAGCGAGCCCGTTGAGAGCACTCACAGCGTTGGTCACCATGAAGCGCCGCTCGTCTGGACTCCCAACGCCCACCTGGAAGCGGCTCGGAGCCGCCCGGTCACCTCGCCCGTCGGCAGGCCGAGGAAGAGGGAATGCTTCCGTGTGGAACAAAACTTCGCGGTCACGAGTGCGAAGGCGAGAGCCCTCCTGCGCGCTGGCGCCTGCGATACCCAGGCCCCGCGATGCCAGCCCAGCGGCTGGCGCTGGCGCGGGTGCCATCACCCCGACGACGGCTTGCCACCTCCCTTGGCGGCCTGCCTCTTCTTGTCTGCTTCGAGCTCCTCCTGCCACAGCCTGAACTGCTTCAGCACCGTGGCGTCCGTCTTCTGGGACTCGGCCATGTATTTGTCGAACTCCGAGGTCCGCAGTCCCCCACTGTCGTCAAACGACGCCTGCAGGAACCGCTCGAACCCCGAGAAGTCTGGATTCTTCGGGTTCCTCCTGACCGCGCGCTGGCACACGATGACCCGCCGACAGATCAGCTCAACGCCCGACAACGCGGGCAGGTTCAGCTGGTCATACGACTGGAAGCAGCGCAGGCAGTCGAAGCACAACCGCACCTCCCGCGCGACGCTGCTCTGCGGGTTAACCCCGCTCTTGCTTTCCCACCACGTCGGATACAAGTGCAGCTCGAGCCCCGCCTTCGCCACCTACCTCGGTCAGCACTTCGTCCGCCGCCGACGGGCCATCGAACGGCCAGTCCTCGAACTTCGGGACCTTGAACAGGTTGACCGACTCCTTCAATAGCGCGCTGCGGCGCCCGGCACTGCCCCGCTGGATCGCATGGATCCTCAGGTCTCTGCCGGGCCCGCTCCTCTTCGTCGAGCTGCCGGTTGGGAACACGCTGCGCACTGACCCAATCCTCCTCGTCCTCGTCGATGAGATACATGCCGAGGTCGCCTCGGACCACAGCTCGGTTCCCTGGCAGCATATCCGAATCCTCGAGCTCGGTGCTGCACCTGCTGTGGCCTGGGTCTGACACTCGCCACCGTCTGGCCGCTCCCGCCGTGGCGCTCGTGGTCACCTTGAACCCAAGCACCTTTGCGAGCTGCAGCCCCCCGAGGTGGATGTCCTCCTTCTGCTCCTCAGTCAGTGGGTCGAATCCGTACACGTTGCCCCGAACACGCTCTGGCCACCGTGTCGCACGGTTCAGGGGCACCACGCGGTGGTTCGCGAGATCGACGACCTCGATCCCGAAGTCTGGTGTGCTCACGACCCACCGCCCAAGCCCCAGCTCGTACAACAAAACTCTGTGATGCCATCTGATGTTCGGGTCGTCTGGGAAACCGATGCACACCTGTATCAAGTCAGCGTCTAACGTCTCAGCCATTGATGCGAGATGACGGTGTCACTACTTCTGGACGCTGCTGGGCCGTCGGAGCTTTACCGCTTGGAGGGATGGCGACCGACGTCGCCTGGGGCCTGTCGATGATGGCCCTCTGTAGACTCCCTTGCCAGCCCACACGCCCAACGACAGCCAGTGCGAGGTAGCCGCCGAGGAAAACTCCGACGATGATCCCGATTCCCAGCCCCGCGCACAACCAGCACCACGCCGACGGCCAGGCCGCCTCCGCGTTCGGCCGAGAGGGCGCAGGTGCCAGCCCAGCTGCCGTGCAGCGGTCCAGCTGCCCCTGGATCACGCCCAGGGGCCCGCGATCTGGCCCAAAATCGCAGTGGCAGACACAGGGCTGAGTCGAGGACAGGTGTGCGCCAAACAGCGCGCCGACGCCGAAAGCCCCTGAGTGTGTCCACCACCCACTGCATCCCCTGAGCCAGGAGGACTACAGAGAGCCAAAGAGCCCGGCCTCCCGAATTCCCCGAGGAAAACCGTCAGGGACTGAAATCACGAGCGAAAAGCCATCGGCCAGTGTGCCGCGGGCCTCGCAACAACAAAACCCACAAGACCCCAGACACGCTGTCAACACAGCGCGCACACGTTAGTCCACCGACTCTTTTTCCTCTCCAGAGCTTTTTCGGTGCAGCTCAACGGGGTGGCGTATCTGCGAGAGCAGTACTACGCCAGTCGCCGAGACTGGTCAAAGCGCCGGAGCTCGAAGAATGCCCTGCGAAGCGATCGAGGTGAACGTACCGATGTCCTGAGGAGTGCCGCCATCGACCTAAAGCGTGGAAGGCTCGAAGGCCCAAGCAAAAAACAGCGTACACCAACGAATGCGGTGACAGGGGACCGCAGGGAGAGACGAAGCGAAATCAAGCGAGAGGGGCATGGAAAGCAGCAGGAGTAAGCCGCCGTACCTTTGTCGCGACGCGAAATGGTCTGGGGAGGGAGGCGGGGCCTGGACAGCCTTCGGCTACGCGCAAGGGTGACGAACGAACGAACGAGCTGCCATACGCCGGAGCGCGTGGGCAAAAAACAATGCCAGCCTGAATTCGCCGCTTTGCGGGAGCGACAGCACGTCGGCTGTCTCATAATGTACAGCGTGCGCGATTGGAGGAGGAGGAGGAGGAGGAGGAGCAGCAGCAGCAGCAGCAGCAGCAGCAGGAGGGAAGGGAGGAGGAGCGAGAAAGGAGGGACGGCATAGTATACATAAGCTCCTGGCTCGACGGTGCCAGAGCGCACGGACTAGAAAGCCTGTTCTGGGTCCGGCCCAAAACTCTCAGGGAAACGTCATACAAAGACTTCCCATTTGGGGGGGGTCCCGCACGTACTCTTTGACGTGCTCGTCTGATGCGAACGCACCCGAAATGCAGTTGCGCAGGCACGATGCCCATGCATTCATCGGTCTACCCCGCCTCCGCTTGAGCGACGCTGTGGCCGAGCGGATCGAACCACCTTGACAAGTAAGCTGTCTCAGAAAATCTTGGTTAGAAGCTCTGCCAATTCTCCTTCAGAGCATATTGAAATAGTTCCAACGGGGCTCGAGGGGGCGCGGCCCGACGGGCAGAGGCCGGGACCGGCGAGCCCCGGCCTGCCGGCGCGGCTCACAGGCTGTAGGACATGCGCAGCCCCGCGGCCTCGAGGGCGCCCGGGGTCCCACCGCTGCGGTGCGACCCCCCATCGCGCTGCGGCGGCCGCCTGGGCCCTCGGCCGTGCCTTCGTCGAGCGCCGCTGGTCGTCCAGCGCCGGACGCTGCTGAAGGTCAGGCGCGCGGTGCCTAGGCCCCGCTTGGACATGTCCGGGATGTCGCCCAGGTCCAGGAACACCGTGGCCGAGAAGGCGAGCCGGTGCTGGCGCAGGTGGGTCGGCATGAAGTGGAGGGGGCACGAAAGAATTTCCGTGGAGGTTGAGGTGTCACCCTCGGTCTTCTGGCCCAGGAGCGCGAAATACGACTCCTGGACCCACTCCACAAACTGGTCGTGTTGGTTCATCTTGACCCAGCTCAGAAACTTCGCGTCCTCGCAGGTGCCGAAGCAGTGCTGGAAGCTGTCGGAGAAGCACAGAATGTCGTAGTCAGCCGAGAGCACGTCGAACCAGAAGGCGGGGGCGTCCCCCTCGAAATCATTGAAAAACGTCGAGCCTGAAGCATCCGAGCCCAGGGACTGCTCCAGGTCCAGAGTGCCGTTGCTGCTGCCGCTGCTGTCTTCAGCGTCCTCTGGCGGACCGGGGGGCGGCCCCGGCGGCGTTCCCTGCAGGTCCTGCTTTGGCCGGCGACGCCGCCGGCGCAGCTGCCTGATCTCCGCCAGATGCCCTAGGTTTGGCAGAAGCATGGAGTCGGAGTCGCTCACCTCCAGGACGCCCACCTTAAAGGCCGGGAGCCCGCCCTGGCTAAAATAGGACACGGCGAACACGTGCACGTTCACGGGGAGGCCCGTGCTGTCCTTCATCAGCACCTGGAAGGTCTTGCTCAGGTCTGAGTGCTCTCTCCCGCAGTCCTGCTGCAACAGCTGCCCCATCTGTTCTGTGAACTTTCTGTTGTCGGATTCGGACGCCAAAAACGAGCGGATGTCCTCCTGCTTGAGGCTGCGCTGGGGATTCAGGAACAGCATGTCAGCTAGCTCCCGCGAGTGCCTCTGCAGCCTGAACTCCGCGTCGAGATCGACCACCACCTCGCACACGCAGCCGAGCACCGAGGTGGCCGCCCGGAGTTCCTGCCTGGATAACTTGGACTGGAGCTCCAGGCGAACGATGTAAGTCAGGAGGCGTTTAAACACGATGATCATGCCCACCAAGAGAATCATGTTCAGAAACCCGTCGCTCAATATCTGCTTGGAGTTGTAATAACTCTGGATTTCCTCTGCGTTCTCCCCGGACATCAGCGTGTAGGTGGACGAGAAGCATAGCACAAGCAACCATGGGATGTTCACCATCGGCTTCAGATTCCACAGACACAAGAAAAGGCTGAGAATGTAGATCATGCTCATGCGATAGGCGACCAGGTCTGCACGGATCGCATACGGTGACAGGTACACTACCAAGCAGGCCATCAGCGCAGAGAACCAGTAGTCCAAAGACCTGGCCGTCACGACGCAGACTTGCGCCCACTGCGATGCCCACATGATGGATATCATGCCGCTGAAGGCGGAGAGAGCGATGTCCTGAACGATCGACCCGAACCTCTTCGCGGAGCCCCCGTCCAGCCCGCTGCGCACGGTGAAGACGAAGAAGTTCGTGAAGACCAGTGCCTGCGCCCAGGGGAGGATCCGCAGGGCGCGCGTCAGCCGCCGGCGCTCCAGCTCCTCGCACAGCGAGGCCTCGAAGGCGCCGTCCTGGCGCGCCCGCCGGCCGCAGGGGGCGCCCGACGCCAGCGAGGAGCCCTCGCAGAGGCGGCGTCCCCGCAGCAGGCCGACGAGCACCACGAGGCAACAGGCGAGGAGGCCGCAGGCGCCGACCATGAACACCACAAAGTCGCGCTGCCTTGAGGCCACGAAGTTGCCCGGCGAGAAGTGGGGCATGCCCTGGTCCGGCAGGCCCGCGTGGGGCGATGGAGGTGAGATTACCCGAGCCGAGCTTGAGCCAAAATGGCCGGAAAGCATGCAAAGGCAACCTTGGAACATCGACAGCGTTACTGTCCGTGTTGACTGTGGTTGTTTAGAGTGGCGGCGAGACTTTGTGCTTGCGGGGTGGATTGGGCGGCGACGACGTGGCGACGAGGCTTTGTTTTCGGGGGGAATGGTGGGTGGCGAAGAGGGCTGTTGTGTAGTAGCAACAAGGTTCCTTTTCGTCCAACCGAGATGACAGGGTACACCCCCAAAGAGGCGACGAGAAGGAAGAAGATTGGCACGATTGGCATGCATGGACCCTGGTCTCGGACGAAATGACTGTTCGACCCCAGCGCTTTTCCTCAATTTCGGCCTCCGGGGCCCTTTGGCGGCCCCCCTGGGACCATCAAACATGTGTCTGAGACGAACGATTGAAGCCGGGGAAGGGGTCGGGTCATCTGGGGCTGCGTGTTGGAAAAACAAGAAACATCGGACGTCTGGAGACGGGTCTTGAGGCGGGGGAGGGCGGGCAGGGGGGAAATCGTACAGTCAAGACGACAAGCGGGGGAAGTCGCAAAGCCGAGACGACAATGCACACCCCAAAGAAGGCGATAAGAGGAGGACAGAAATAGTAAGAAGAACCCAAACATCGTGAGTATAAGCAGAAGAAGAAAACAATAACAACAAGCTGCAGAAAAAGGTACACTTTCGGAGTTCCGCGCGGATTTCGTAAATTTGCGCTGGTCCCCCCCTGGCGGCGCCTCCGTCGCCGCCCCCGGTGCGCTCCGCGCTCCAGGGAGAGGGTCCCAGCGTCGATCCCAAGAAACCCGCGCGGGCAAAAGTCGTGTGTTGATTCCGATCGATTGCTCGCAAGCAGACGACTGGAGGGAGGAGATTGGCATGAACGAGGCAGGTCCTGAGAGGAGGATCGGGGAGAAGTAAGACTCGCGCTCGGGGGATTCGTGTTGGCCTGATGGGGCCGTCGGGTGAATGACGAGGCTCAGTCTGAAAGTTGACGCGAGCTCCCGCTGCAAACACCTCACGACAACTGCACCGTCAAAACCCCAGACGGGCGCCAAAAAGCGCCGGCAGACCCGAGAGCTCCGGCAAGATCGAATCTGACGTTACCCCGAGATTGGCACGAGGCAGCGGGTCCCGAGGGAAGGAAGTAAGTCCAGGACCCCAGAGGCTGTCCCCAGGGGCCAGCTCTTCGTCCCGGGACCTCCTCCTCCTCCTCCTCCTCCTCCTCCTCCTTCCTCCTCCTCCTCCTGCTCCTCCTCCTCCTCCTCCTCCCTCTCCGACGGCCCCCGCGCCCCCCACCCCTCGGAGGGCACCGTGGGGGCCCCGAGCGGCGCGCTGCCAAAGGGGCCCGGAGGCCTCGGGGCGCCCTCCTCTCCACGGCGGGGAGGCACATGGGACGGCGCCCGGCTGCACGCGGGCGCGCGGCGCTCGGGGGCCGCGGGGAGGCCGAGCCCGAGCCCGGTAAGACGCTGCCACCGCGTCGCGCTCCGTCGTCCCTGAAGGGGCCCTGGGACACACGAACAGATACACACAGCACACAGCAGGATGCCCCATATATATATATATATATATATATATATATATATATATATATATATATATTATATATATATATATATATGTGTATGTTCCCAGGTTCTCTGCGTCTGTGGCTTCCCCCGCGCTTCCCATATGTTACCATGTTTTCTGGGGGATCGGCGATTCATTGTGTCTGTGTGTGTTTTCCCCTCCTGAACCTTGGGACCCCGCAACAGAGGTCACTTCGGCTAAAGGTCATTCTCATGCGTAGCCGGCAGCAGGTGAGCAGGTGACGACCGTCGGGCGGTCAAAGCGAGACCCCGCTGGACTGTGAACTCAGCCTTGCCTCTCTTCCCCAGCCTCTTGACCTGGGGTGGCGGGGGCTCCCATGGCGTCCATAGACAGCAGGACTCGAGGCAGGTTGAGATAAAGGAAGGCGCTCCAGCAGCGCTTCCAACAATGATTTCAGTGAGTGGTGATACCAATTGGGCCACCTTCAAAAGAACAGCGTACGCTTAGCGTACGAGACCTGGGTGCTGGGGGCGTAGTGCTGCTTTCTATGACTCACTCTCCCTTCTTCGATCGGTGGCCTCTAAGGTGACCCCAAGAGGCCCATCAAGGCCCCCAAGAGGACACGGGCCTCAAATTGTCCCACGAGGCCCCGAGGGCATCCGAAATGTCCCCGGAAGAGCACTCCACAAAACCCCCAAGAGCTTTTTTGTCAGTCGCAGCGGCGCACGACCACGCCGCCACAGTCGGAGGCAGCCGAAGGCCCGAGAGGCTAACAAGAAGCTCCCAGAGCAGAGTACCCGCAGGGGCTTTGATGGTCGTTGTTGACATCGTCGTAGTCGTTGTCGTCGTCGTCAATGTCGTCGTGGTCGCGGTCGTGGTCGTGTTCGTAGATATCGTCAACGTCGATGTCGTCAACGTCGCCAACGTCGCCAACGTCGCCAACGTCGTCGTGATCGCGGTCGAGGTCTCGGTGGTGATCATCGTCGCCGTCGACGTCGTCGCCGTCGCCGTCGTCGTCGTGGTCGTTGTCGTTGTCGTCGTCATCGTCGACTCCTTCTCCCTCCTCCATGATCTGTGTCTTATGATTTGTTTGTTTTGTTTCATCCTCCTCCTCCCACCTCTTCGTCCTGCTCTTCCTCTCCTCCTCCCCTCCATCCCTCCCTCCAGTCTCCCCTCCCTCCTCCTCCTCCTTCTCCTCCTCCTCCTCCTCCTCCTCCTCCTCCGCTGTTTCGATATGATTTCTGTTTCGATGTCCAGCAAGGTAACGGCTGCTGCCCCCCTTTTGTTCCACTGCTATGCTGCTACACTTCCCTGATCAGGGGAACTCGCCAAGCGACTGTCTCTGGATAGGCTGGTGGGGGCACCCGAAGAGTCTTGAATGACGCGGTGCTCCTAGGGCCGCCGCGGTCTGGACGGGCATCACTGGGTGGGCCGAAGACGACTAATTGAGAGAAACCTGGGCGACCTTTCGGGCCAAATCTTGCGCAACCCCTGGCCAGGCCTTCAACGTACAGCCCCAGAAGATTCGTAGGGAACTGGGAACTACACAATTCGCCGGCCCAGCGGGTCAGAGGCGTGCTAAAATCTCCAGTAGCGGATTCGATTGTTCTAATTCGAGCGCGCTTGGCGGCCCCTGGGGGGCCCAGCATGAAAAAGGCCTCGGGCGCTCCCTCGGCAGGTCCTGGGCAGTTCCTGGACGGTCGGTGTCACGGATACCAGAATTCCCGGGAGCGGTCTTCAGGGCCCCGAAGAGCGCCCTAAAAGGGCCCCAGGGGACCCTAAGGGGAGCTCCAACGGGTCATTCGAGTCGGGATCCATGTGGCAGGTGCTATGGGAGCAATGCTCTCCCAACAAAAACTTCGAGATAGCCTCAACCTTGACAGATAGAGCTTCAATAGGCCCCTTCAAGGCCAAACAATTCTCCCTGGGCGACAGGGTTTTTTTGAGAGATTCCACTTAGGGGTTCTTACTTATCCTCAAGGGGTGGGTTGATGTGCCAACCCGGCCAGTTTGTGGTCGTCTCGTCGCCGCCCCGTCGCAGCCTTGTCGCCGCCCCGTCGCTGGAGTGGTGTGCCGCCCCAGCCGGACTGTGGTCGCCCAGTCGCCGGCCGCACCGTCGCCGCCTCGTCGCCGCCCCGTTGGTGTGCTGGTGTGCCGCCCTGGCCGGCTTGTGGTCGCCCCGTCGCCGCTTCGTCGCCGCCTCGTCGCGGCTTCGTCGCCGCCCCGTGTTGCCACGGCGGGTTTCTGGTCGCCCCGTCGCCACCACGTCGCCACCCCGTCGCCGCTGCGTCGCCGCCCGTCGCCGCCGCTTCGTCGCCGCATCGCAATGCAGTCGCAGGGCGCACCACATAGATTGCACCACGTGAAAAGATTGCACCACGCAGCTTGCCACACGTAGAACGTGAGCGTGCACCACGTAGTTTACACCACAGTATTCTGCACCAGATGGATCTCTTCGACTCCACCCCCCGCGGAACGGCCGGCCCCCGCTAGGCACCGCAGTTTACAATACCCGTTCTGCCCCATCGTTCATTCTCATCCCGAGAGGGGCCCTTTGGCGACGCTCCCCCGTCAGCCCGGGCAACGTATACTTCGCGCGCGGACTCTTTAACCAAAACAAATCCATGCTTAAGAACCGCTTTTGCGCAGATAATGTCCACATTCACACGCGTGCGGAGTCGCGTGCGCGTCAAAACCTGTCAATAACGAGAAGCTCCGCATGGTTCTCAAAATCTACGTCCCCGAATCTGCATACATAGGTTTTGCGACATACGTTCCCGACCATAGGTACACTGAACAGTGTTGGTGCTTCCACATGTTTATCGAATCGCGCGCGCATGCCGACATTTATCCAAAACGTTCATCACCGACACGGTGTCGCCGACACGTGGACACCATCATCGTCATCGGCGGCGGGACCAGCATCTGCGCCGTCAATGGCTTTGCCGTCGTCGTCGTCGTCATCATCGTCACCCTCGTCGCCAGTATCATCAAGTCCGCTTTTGTCGACGTCGCCATGATACCGCGCCCGCCCGAATCACCGACTCGTACTGAAGCGCCCGCGTGTCAGCGCGGCCTCCGAAGCGAGCAGGAGACTGCCCAACGTTCAGCGCCCCCGCAGCCGCGTCGGTCGCGCCAACCTAGCGGGCTGATGTGTGCGCGAGTTTGCGAGCGCCAGCGCGACCGTAGCGATGTGCTTGCCAACGCCAAGCAATCATCGCAATCGCCACCGCATTGGTTTTGCGCAAATTGCGGGAGGGTGTATGGATTGTTTGCGCGAGAAATTGAATTGACAACTTCAAGTCGTGAGTTCTCTTTCCCAAAACAAAACTTACGATCTACCTCCCCCCCGACTTAACCCACCTTTTCGCATTGCATTTTGCATATGGCTCTGCCCCATCGTCCATCCGAAATATTGTCATTTCATACCATTCCAGGCTAGCCAGAATTCGATCCCCCCTCATCCTCTGGAAAAATTGCACGCGCACTCGTCTATCAAACATCAGAGGTATATATATATATATACATATACATATACATAT